AATTGAAAACTTTCCTACTTAAAATATTATGAAACTAATATATGTTTGCTGTAAAAAGCCAAAGAGTATAAAGATGGATAAAGAAAAAATCAACAGTTTGTGAGTCCCCCTTTTAATCTCATACCCCGAAGTTACAGTGTCAACAGTAGATGGTGATTACCTCTATGCCTTTTTTCATGCAAACACTTAAATAAAAATATAGGTGCATAATTAGAGATTTTACTTGTTTCTTCTTTTAAAAAAATAAAAATCGGCTCCTGCTAAACATGACATTCTTACATTACTTTTTAATGAATGCCACATCATGGTATATTACATTAGCTAGTGAACTTGCTGAAAAAACATCTCACCTATCAGTAACGGGCAGGGGCAGATGCAAACTTTCAGATCCATATGAATAACTTTTGAAAAATATAAAGTGTTATAAAAGAACAATAAAGACAGACAAACTTGTTAATAAAGCAGAATATGTTAAAGTAGAATGTGTTACATGAAGAATTAAAAATGAAAAAAATCCATCATTTTTCTATGTTAGTAAATGTAAATATTTATTCTTTTTTTCCTAATAGCTGCATATTTATATTCGATAGCACAAACATAACATAATTTTTTCAACATTTTAACTGGGAGACATTCATTTTTAGTTTTTGGCCCTAACAAGCAATGCTGCAATAAGCATTCTTGTAGGTATGATCTATAGGGCACATTCCTAAAAGTGAGACTGCAGGTATTTTAAATTTTACTAGATGCTGGCTAGGTGCAGCGGCTCACGCCTGTAATCCTAGCACTTTGGGAGGCTGAGGTGGGTGGATCACTTGAGGTCAGGAGTTCGAAATCAGCCTGGCCAACATGGTGAAACCCTGTCTCTACTAAAAATACTGGAAAAAAAAAAAAAGCCAGTTGTGGTGGCAGGTACCTGTAATCCCAGCTACTTGGGAGGCTGAGGCACGAGAATCACTTGAACCTGGGAGGCAGAGTTTGCAGTGAGCTGAGATCCTGCCACTACACTCCAGTCTAGGTGACAGAGTGAGACTCTGTCTCAAAAAAAAAAATTTTTTTTGTTTTTTTGATGCTGCCAGTTACCTTTCATAAAGGTTGTAGCAATTGATTACATTTAGCGATGAATGAGACCTTCTATTTCCCCATACCCTTGCTAGCACTGGGTATTACCAATCTATGTTAGTTTTGTCCATCTGGTGGTTCATGTTTGTTTTGATTTATATTTGCCTACCCACCAGTGGAGTTTTATATCTTGTCATTGTTGGCAACTTAAATTTTCTCTTAAGTTGCCTTTTCATGTTTTTTGTCCATTTTTCTGCTATTCTTTCCTTTTTCTTATTAATTTGTATGAGTCTTTTATTATGACAGTATAGAAACTTTGCCATATGTGTTGCAAATATTTTCTCCCATCTATTGTTTTAATTTTATGACAAATCTGGCTTCCTAAAAATGTAAAACTAATTATATTGTCTAAATATTAAATCCTTCTCTTTCTTCATGACTTTTTAAAAATGACTTATGAAGCCCTTCCTACTCTGGCTTTACATACACATTCTGTTAAATGTATTCACATATTTTCATAGCTTTGCTTTTCATTTAGACCATCAATCTACGAGGAAGTTATTTCTGTACATGGAATGTGGAAGGGCCTGGCTTTATTTAATAGATGGTGTTGGACTGACCATTCATAGAGGAGGAAAAAATACAAAACAAAACATCCTTTTCCCACTGACTGCTCCTGTGTCCTGTATGGAGTTATTCTATGCTTCTCATCTACTGGGCTCCCAGGCCTTGCTTTCAAAACTTTGGGGTGGGAGGCCACACCCACTGTCCCAACAGTGTCCCAGGCATGGGCACTGGCTCACTGCTGAGGTAATCTCTTTTTGCTTGGTATTTAACTGTCAGACGGAAAAGGGGAGGGTTTGGATTACACATTTTGAAACTCAGATCTATTCTAAGTTCTCAAAGCAGAAAATATCCCTTCTTTTAGCTTGAAAAATAAAAACAAGCCAAATTTTGAATTATGAGAACCCCAACTGGTGCACGAAATCACTGGCTGCTTCTGTGCTGGTGACCACAGAGCCCAGTGTAAGAGGTCCTGGTCACCAGCAGCCTTGTCGTCAGGAGTCTGGAGCAGTGTTGCTTGGCTTTCTTTTCGGTGTCTACTCTCGGGCTGAGATTTTCTTTAGGCCAAGTCTCAGCCTGGAGCAAATTTTTTATGGCTGTGAGCTAATTCCCTAGCAAGCCCCGGTTTATACAGAAATGCTGACACAGTGCTAGCTCTGGTGATTCAACTGGGGCGGCTGGGCTATTTATGGCTCCCTGATGCCAATAGGGGATAATTCTCATTTAATAGATTCAGTTTCTGTTGGGACAGGGATCCCATTTCCTCCCCAGCCCCAGTGGGGCAGTGGAACTTCTTCCTCAAGAGCTAAGTGATGGGGAGGTGGCCTGTGGGGAGGGCCTGCCTTGGAAGCAGCTGAGCTGCAGTAAGTTACAACCAAGGTGGGCTTTTCAGCCTGGGATTGCTGGAGCCTTAGGAACAAATAAATATTTTCATCTCCTATTTTGTCCCTGGGCAATGGACCCAAAAAATGCCTTGATTCTTCTCAGTGAAACCTGGGAGAAAGCTGAGGATGACTTAATTCCCTTTTCCCTCTTCCCCTTTCTGCACTTATTTCTTTGTACTGAGGGCCTGAAGCAGGGGTCCAGAGCAGCCACTGTTTCTGGGCGTAGCTAGGCAGGATTGGACTCCAGGGCCTCTGGGGGGCGGGCAGAGAGCATGGCGGTTGTCTCCCTCCCCAGAATCCCCTCTTGCCTATACCCATGTTGTGAGCCTCTAGACAGGGGACTAAAGGGGCCACAGATGGCTTTGGGGGCTGGCAGGAGGTAGGCAGCTTTTGGCTTGGGCTTCATTGCCATTGTCAGCCTTCCCTTGGATGAGCTAAGCACCTTGTTTCTATTACTCTCCACGTTTTCCTCTACCTGAGGGGAGGCAAAGGAACCAGACTATTGAAAAAAAACAATGTTGGCTGGACACAGGGGCTCACGCCTGTAATCCCAGCACTTTGAGAGGCTGAGGCGGGAGGATCACTTGAGGTCAGGAGCTCAAGATCAGCCTGGCCAACATGGTGAAACCCCATCTCTACTAGAAATATAAAAATTAGCCAGACATGGTGGCATGTGCCTGTAATCCCAGTGACTCAGGAGGCTGAGGCAGGAGAATCGCTTGAATCCAGGAGGTGGAGGTTGCACTGAGTTGAGATTGTGCCACTGCACTCTAGCCTGGGTGACAGAGTGAGACTCCATCTCAAAAAATAAACAATTGTGGCAAAATATTCATAACATAAAATTTGCCATTTTAACCATTTTTAAGTGTATAGCTCAGTGGGATTAAGCACATTGACATTAAATATCCACATTGTTTTGCAACCATCACCAGCATCTATTTCTAGAATGCTTTCATCTTACTAAACAGAAACCCTGTACCTGCTAAATAGTAACTCCCTATTCCCTATGGGGCAGATTTTTGTCACTGGAAGAATGAGCGGCTTTGGAACCTGAACTCTGATGGGTCTGGGCATGTGGTGGGGAATTGGGAGTGGACACTAGGGATACCACGTGGCTGAAGTCCCTTCTTCATTCATTCTTTCCTGATGCATTCTAGCAAGGGGAGCTCTCTCTGCTACCAAGGGCCCTATAAAGATGGCTCTCAGGGGCCCTGAGAAGCAGCCATCCCTATACAGGAGGGCACCCTCTGTCCCATGTCAAACCTTTCCCACTGACGTTTGGAGGATCAGATAGGCAGGAAAATTTTATTAGCCCTATCTGGCAGGTGGAAACACTGAGGTCTATGAGGGTAAGTGACTTGCCCAGTTACCAAGTTGCAGAGCTAGAACTTGAACCAAGACTGCTTTGGCTCCAGAGTCCTTGCTGTTAACCACGTCTGTGCATTTATTGATAAGCTCTGGGGTTCCCAGAGTGATTCCCAGGCCAGCAAGCCCATCCCAGGAGCACCAAGCATCACTCCTAACTTGGCAAGGCATCCGGATGGACCCCACCTAATTCGGGGCCTTTGAAGTCAGTGTTGTCAAAAGTGGGGCAGCTTTGTCTTTTACCAGCTTTTATGGGGCCTGTTGGGGAATGGAAGCACTTAGGGATGGCAGGCAGATCTTGATAAGGTGGCCCGAGGTGGGGGTGGGCCAGGAGGACACTGAAGCCGCCAGGGTTGTGGTTTCTGCTTGGGTGTAAGTGTGATTTCTGGCAGAGCTGGAGGAGCTGTGAAGACAGGCTGGCGGCCGCGGGATTTAGTGGTTTAGCTTTGTTGAAATCCGCAACTTCAAGGACTTCCCCTGGTGATTGTTTTTGTCAAGCTAATTAAGAGCGAGCTCAGCCGAGCTCTGGGAAGGGAGGAGGGAGAGGAAGGGGATGCCCAGTGCGGCTGGGAGGTGGGAGGAAGGAGCTGTTGTTGCTCCTTGTGGACAAGGGCCCACAAGTGACCGACAGGACAGGTGGTGCCGAGGATCCGGTGTGAGGACTGTGGCGCCTCCTCACAGCTCTCGGGGCTCTCCCTTCTCAGGGTTCCTGCCAGGCTTGAGAACTCATCTGGAGATGGGAGCATGGGGGGCTAGAGCTGCGGGGAGCCAGGGTAGTCCTTGGAGGCAGGGTCATCTGGCCCCTCCAGCAGGGCATGGCTGCAGACTAGAACTGTCTTGTCAGGGATCCGGGCTGGGAATGAGGAGAGGGGCTGGGCCCAGGTGGGAGTGGCAGGGAGGCTGAGGGCCGCTCCTGGGGAAAGGGCTCCTCCGGGCTTTCAGCGCCTCACCGGCTCCATAATGCAGGTCCCCGTAGTGATATGAGAGCAGTGCCTGACTACAGCGTAGGTTCCTGAAAAGTAAGGGGTCTTACCAACTAATCTAATCCCCCCAAACCCTGGTGGTGTGAGGTGGATACACTTACTCTCCTTATGTTACCATTGAGGAAACCTACGCACAGAGAGGTTGAGTAACTGTGTAACCGCACACGGATAGTAGGCGTATTTAAATCCGTGTCTGACTCCAGAGCCAGGCTCTTAAGCACAGGTCACATAACTGGCAGGAATGCCTGCCTAAAGGAGCCGGGCCTGGGAGAGGGGCCCAGCTCACTGTGGCCTGACTGCAGTTCCCTCAGGATCGGGGGCTGCCTTGGCCAGACAGGACAGGAAGGGGCACACCTGGTAGCACCCGTGCCCACTAAGCCCTTTGAAGGGACAGGTCTCTTCTAGGCTGGGGAGTCTGCCCTTAAGTGCCCTACTGCCAGGCATGTGATGCTGGGGACAGAAGACAGGAAGCCTGGGCAGCCAAGCCCTCAGAGAGACTCTGTGGTCCCAGTACCCTAAAGAGCTAATAACAAGATGAGGCTGGTCCTGTTGCAGCTAACAGAACAGGAGCAAAGTCATCCCCAGCCAGGGGACCCCAAGGACCGTGGGTGGGAACTGGGACTCTTATGTAGTGGCGAGGGCTGGAGCTGAGTCTGGACGGATGAACAGGGTGTGAGGGAGTTGCCCTCAGGAGAGGAGAGAATTGCTACTGGGCAGAGGAGCCCAGTGGTGTGTCTGGATTAAAGTCCTGGCTCTGCTTTATGCTACCTTGAGCAACTTGCTTAACCTCTCTGTGCCTTTCCTCGCCTATGGGGACACTAATAGTGCATGTTGCATATGGTTGTTTGGAAGCCCAGATGGGTTAATGCAGGTAGAAAGCTGGGTCTGTACTCAGTGAACTGGGAGATAACCGTGTGCTGACTTTGGACTGCTGTTATTCTCAGCTGAGAAACATGAATGGCCAAAATCTTGGGGCATGGGAGGGGAAAGGGAACCAGTGACTTGGACTGTGAGTTGGGAGGGACACCCTTATCCTCCTGACCTCTTTCTCTGGACCTCCGACTCCTTTACCTTGGATTTCCCCAGGGTGACATCAAATGCTGTCCGATAAAATATTTCTTGGGGTTGGTGGTAGTCTTCCACCTGGACTGAGAGCTGAAGCTTGGCAGGGCCATCTTTCAAAACGGTGGAGGGCTCACTGCATTCCACAAACATTCTTTGATTTGCTTGTCTTTTCTGTGCAAGACACTGGGCTAGGTTTTGGGAGAACAAGCTGGCCAACCATGTCCTTGTTCTCAACGAGCTTGTGGTGAAGTGAGAAGTCAGGTGAATTCCCTCATTCATGCTGTCACTCAGCCACCATTTGCTGCATGCCTGCTTTGTGTCAGAGACCTTCCTAGAAACCAAGAACAAAGCAGAGGCAGGACAATAGTTGGCTCCCGCCCTCAGAGTCCACACGCTAGATTGACGGTTTGCATCTCCAAGGTGGGATCAAGCTGTACCAGGTTTGGAGTGACGAACCTGACCTTCAGTCCCTACTTCATGCCAAGCACCGGGAAGCAGACAGTAGACAGTGTGGGCATGGTTAGAAGCTGAGTCTCTGGAATGGGACAAACCTGGTTTTGTATCCTTGCTCTGCTGTTTACTGGCTATGAACTTTAGACAAGTTACTTTACCTCTCTAGACCTGTTCTTTGTCTATAAAATAGGGATAATGATACCTTCCTCATGGGGTTATGGTAAAGGTTAAATGAGATGATGTGTGAAAAGCACTTAGAACAGAGCTCAGCCCTCTAGTAGTTCCTATTAAATGTGCACCTGTTAGTACTGCTGCTGTTACTACTCTCACTCTTGCTTTTAGGTGCTTCCATGAGACCGAGAGGACTCTCCCCCTGTTTCTTAATATTGCCCCATTTCTTAATATTTAAGAAACCATTCAGTAAGTCAGGTGCATAATTCTGGTTCAAAGTTGACTAATTTCCTGAGTTTATATGTAACCTTTAAAAATCAATTAGAAAAAAAAGATCACTCGACGGAAAGTTGGGTGAAGACTTGAGCAGGAAGTTCACAGAAAAAGAAGCGTTTATAATCGAGCAAAAAGCTTGTAAGCAAATGAAAAGAAACTTATATTTTTAAAAATGTCTGTTAACACACAAAGATACCATTTAACCAGCAGGCTGATGAAAATTTAAAAATTCGATAATGCATTTTGTTGGAAAGGAGTGGGGAAACAGGCACAGTCCCCCAGAGAGGGCAGGGAGTGTACATTGGTGCAAGACTTTCGGAGTTGGCAGTTTCTATTAAAAATTTACCACCCTTTTGATTTAGCAATTTTTTACATAGGAATTTGTCTTGCAGATATAGTAGTGTTCATCAGTGAATGCAGTGATATCAGTTTCAGAGCATCCATCATGTCATTGTTTATAACAGCAAAAAGAGAAAACTGTAAATGTCCATGGAGAGAGGACTCATTAAACTAAGTTCATCTGTGCAATGAAATACCTTGAAGCTGTTATAAAGTACTCGAAGGGCCTATAATGTATTGAAAATCTTACAGATCATCAAGACATGTCAAGTAAAGAAACAGAAAGGTACAGAGCATTATGTAGAGAATACTCCCATTTGCATGAAATGAAAGGTATATGTTCATATGTATATGTCTAGATTATACCCTTGTTGAATGCTAAGAAACTATTCACAGTGGTTGCCTTTAGACAGAGGTCTTGGGAGCCTGGCAGGGAGACAGACTTTTTATTCTACTTATGCATAGTGTCAGAATTTCTTATTATATGCCTGAATTACTTTTACATTATAAAGAAAGAAGTCAAACCAATGTAAACTACATATTGGTAGTTAATAAGTAAAATGCTGTTCCAGGTTTTGTGAGTGTGTTTGGACTGATAAACAGTGTTTTTCCCCTGAGATCCTGCTAAGAACTATTTAAGAAATGACTTGCAGGCATAGTCACCTATTTAGAAGGTTCAAGCTTAAAATGGGGTCTTGCCATGCTTGGACCAGTGTGAAACAGAAGGGGCTGGGTCTGAGCTTGCCAGTGTCCAGGGAACCTTGTTCTTCCCAGGGCTTGAAGAATAGACAGTGGGTCATATGTTCTCAAGTCACCCTGTTGAATTAGGATACACAGTTGCCGGAGTGAGGGCTGAGATGTCCACGCACTCTCAGAACCAACCTTACACCTGTGTTGGTAAGCAGGTATTCTCCAGGGGAGACACCCTGGGGTCAGGTTATCCTGGAAGAAGTTTGACTAAAATGAATCTTCCAAATGGATGTGCAAATCTGCATTTCCTGTGAAAGCCAAACAGACAGCTTTCAAGTGTATGGAATTTGGGAAACAATGTATGCTCTCTGCCCCTGAATCCTTGGGAGCTAGTTGGGCCTCTGTCAGGAAGGCCGTCAGAGAGGTGGGCGCCTCTGGAAGAAGCAGCGTGCACAGCTGGCCTGTGGCGTCTCCTCATCAGGCTCACCAGGCACAGCAGCCATGCCCTTTTTGCTCTCATTCCCCACCCTGCTTCCCTTTCTCCTCCTCCTCCTTTTTTTTCACCAAGAGTTTTTTCTAATTAGTTTTTGTTATATTTAATTTCAAAATAAAAGTTACCTTTGCACATAGTTGAGGGGGTTGAATTGTTCCAGCACGCGTGTTGTGAACACACACGTGCAAGCACGCAAAGTCCTGGACTTGTCCATCACCCCTCGTCAACAATTTTCTACTATCTAGATGCATCTACTTTTAGTAATTTGGCTAATTTTTAAAATGCTTATCTCTACATAACATGTTTATATTTTTACTGCTTGAATTTTTCATTTTCAGCATTGCGTATTGACGTCTCACTGGAGGAGAGGAGGAGTGAGCTATTTTCCCCACTGCCTGTCAACACCCCTGCTCCCCATCCCCCATCTTTCCAAACAGTTTTAGTGTAATTTTATTAGATTGGTATTCAGTGATGATGCTACTTTGACCCTGAAAACACTAGTCACAGCTGAGGTGTGATGACTTGTGCTCTCCTGATCCACATTTGTTCCCTGGAGTTAATCTTTATCCTCCTCTGCTTAGTTTTTTGTGTATGTGTCACTAATCCAACATCAAACTCTCCCCGAGTTGAATACAATTTGTCTCAAAATTATATTCATGGTTCTGGTAATACCAGTTTCATCTTCTTGAGGACATGTCTCCTGGAGCCTTCGGAGCTGGGCTGGGTGCTCCCTAGGTCTGCTTTTTAGCTATTGTTTGAGGACTACTCTTCATGAATATCTTGGCGATTCCTCTGGTTTCCTTTCCTACTAATCTTGCTTCTTGGGTTCCATGTCCTCTTTCTTGAGTAACTTCATCATTTTGGAGGAGCACATTTTTTTTTCCCATTAACTTATAAAGAGGTAAGCAATTTTTTTGAGACTTCGCATGTCTGAGAATGTATTTACAGCTAGTGCTCGACTTACAACCACGATTGGTTCCTACAGACCGGTCGTAACATGATTTGGTCGTAAGTTGAGTAGGCTTTATGTACAGTACTGTGAAATGATGTTATAAAAATCTTTAAGTCATATTTTATCATAATTTTCTTTCATTATTATTATATATCATAATTTTCTTTTTTCATTTTATGCAATTTGTATCATGTCTACACCATTTTGTTTCTTATTTTTACATTTGTCAGGTTTAAGTAAAACACTGCATTACCAGTACAACTGGTTTAATATTTGAAAAACATACAAAATTACAAAATATAGGTGCATACAAAAATAAAAAATACAGGTGTAAAAAATACCATAGGAAACATTTTCCCAATTGCAAAACATATCAAAATATATAAACATGTACAAAACATTTTATTGGCTGCTGGTGCTTGGCTGCGGATTGTTGATGTCATCATTTGAGGCAGCAGTTGGAGTTACCGGAGTTGGTTTTTTCATAAACATGGTGAGCTTAGTCTGAATTGTATGTTTCTTTTTTTCTTCATAAATTTCACGATACGGACGAAACACATCGTGCGCCATCCGTTCAATCCTTGCAAATTGTTCGATGTTTGGGTCCATTGCTTCGAAATGTATAAGAAGTTTATTGGGAGGGGTTTGATGAAAAATATCCAAGACACAAAACACAAATTGCTGTACTGAATCTGGGATAACAGTTGAAATGGTGCACGCGGAGATGGTAGTGCTGCCGGAAGCTGGTCCATACTGTCATACGCCCAGCTGGGCAACGTTTGCGCTGCCATATGCGGAGCAGTCGTGGCTAGTGATTGTGGTTGTAAAGTCGAATGGTCGTAAGTTGCATAGGTTGTAAGTCGATCAATACCTGTATTGGATCCTCATTCTTTTTGTTTTTGTTTTTGAGACAGAGTCTTGTTCTGTTGCCCAGGCTGGAGTGCAGTGGCACAATCTTGGCTCACTGCAACCTCTGCCTTCCAGGTTCAAGCAATTCTCCTGCCTCAGCTTCCTGAGTAGCTGGGACTACAGGCATGTGCCACCAGGTCTGGCTAATTTTTTGTATTTTTAGTAGAGACAGGGTTTGACTGTGTCAGCCATGATGGTTTTGATCTCCTGATCTCGTGATCCGCCTGTCTTGGCCTCACAAAGGACTGGAATTACAGGCAGCAACCACTGAGTCCTCATTCTTAGTTGATGGTTTGGCTGGGTATAAAATTCTAGGTTGGAGATACTTTTCTCTCAGAACATTGGTAGACTCGTGCCATTGTCTTCAAGCTTCCAGTGTTGCTAAGAAGGCTCTTGTATGAAAATTTTCTTTTTCTCTTACTATAGGAGTTCTTCTTTGTCCTTGTTATTTTGAAATTTCGTAAGCTTCCTTGATTTGGATCTATTTTTGCTCATTGTGCAAGGCATTTGGTAGGTCTTTCCAATCTGGAAACTCAAATCCTTCAGTTCTGGTTATTACCTGTGAAAACTATTTCCCTGATGATTTTCTCATTTTTCTCTTATTTTGTAACATCCTCCCCCACCCTGAACTCCTAGTATTTGGATATTAGATCTATTGAATTTTCTCCCAAATTCTTATTTCTCTTATTTTTCATCTTTTTGTCTTCTCTGTTTTCCAAACCATTTCTTTAAATCTTTGAGTTTTTTTTAAATTGCATTTATTTCTACCATAATTTAAAAAACATTTTCAAGAATTCTGTTTTCAAAATGTTCCTTTTAAAAATAGCATCTTGTTTTTATTTCATAGATGTAATATTCTCTAATATTAATAATTTTACCAAAGTTTTCTCCTCCTTACCTATTTGTTTTTTACACTATGTTTTCTGCTGGAATTTTCCTCAAATGCCTAGTGATTATTTGTTGTTGCTCATATTTAAGAGTGGAGGTAACTACAAAGCTGACCTGAAAGCTCCAGGTACTCGGATGGGGCTATTTGAACCATGAACTTCATGTAGTGTCATCTAGCTGGGCTGTTTTCATAGAAAATCCTCAATGTTGGTATCTTTTTGCTCTTTTTTCTGAGGCTAACCAGATTGCTGGGAGAAATCTTCTCCAGTCTTCTGCCTGAAGGATATATATCTGACTACCAGCATTCTGGGAGCTCAGCAGGGGAAGGCTCAACATCTCCTTATTCAATATGCACGTTAGTTCTTTGGGGCTGCCATAACAAAACACCACAGACTGTGTGGCTTAAACAACAAAAATTTATTTTCTAACAGTTTTGGAGGATGGAAGTCCATCAAGGTACCAGCAGGGTTGCTTTCTGGTAAGGGCTCTCTTCCTGGCTTGTAGATGTCAGCCTTCTCACTATGTCCTCCATGGCTTTTCCTCTGTGCCTGTCCCTAGAGAGAGAAAGCTTGTACTCTGGTGTCTCTTCCTCTCCTATATGTAGATTAGTCCTACTAGGGCCCAATCTTTATGACCTCATGTAACCTTAATTACCTCCTTAAAGGCCCTATCTTTAAATATGGTCACATTGGAGATTAGGGCCTCAACATCTTGATATTGGTGGGGGCCACAATTTAGTCCATAACAGTATGTAAAACTTCACTTAATCTTTCTGCTTTCATTCTGTTACTTCCACCTTCAACAGTGCTTGGTGATCTTAATACTATGTCATCCTTTCCAGAAAATAATCTTATGGTCTTCTGCAGGAGTGGTGAAGAGGCTGTCACTGGCTAGATGGAGTGAGGATGGGTATCTGAAGGTTTGGCAGTTTCCTTAACAGATTGTAAACCAATCCTCTTCTTTTTAGGTGGACATTCGTCTTCACTTCCAGAGATAATCTTTTTGCCATTTCCTGACCAGTTGATTTTTGGATTTCATTATTGTTTATTTAGGATGAAATCGTTTAGATCAGCTAAATTGGTTATCACTTGTCCAGCTTCCAAAATGTTCTTCTTGTTGTATTCCTTCCTGTTCTCATTGTCCATGGGGATTATACCATAACAAAATTCTTTTGACTGTTAATTAAATGGTGTTTCTTGAGGGAGTACAGGTAAATGTATGTTTAATTCCCCATTTTGACTGGAAGCTATATGTCATCTTCCGTTGAAAGCAAATAGAAGCCCGTCAGACGAGTTAGCTTTGATTCCAAGTCCATTTCTCCCTCAACTCTGGTGTTTTCACAGAATGTCTCTTTATTATTCAAATATGTTTGATTTTGCTGCATGATGCATTGACTGGCTTTTGAAGACAAGTGGTCTGATGCTACTTGACCAAAAAATAGGGAGCCCTCTCTGAGCTTATCACAAGATGCAAATGTCTTAATAAACTCAGAAAATGGTTTGTGCTTTCAGTTGAGCAAAGCCTCCACATTTTCCTGAGTGCCATTTCCCTATACTTTAAAACTTGATATATTTCCAGGAGAATCTAATCCATATGTTTCTGTCTTTCTTTTTGCTTTTAATACATCATAATATTGCTTCATAAAACACTATTTAAATCAATAGTCTTTATTAGCTTTTTTAAGCAAGGCTTTTTCCTTAGCTTTTATTTAGAACCACATTTTTTTTTCAAAATTTCCCAGCCACAAAGTTGAGTCAAGACCACAAAGATCTGAGTTACATTTGAAATTTTGAGTTTTGCTGGGTTCTAATTAGAGCAAAGCCATGTTCTCTAAAACTACATTCTCAGCTGAGCAAATTCTGCACCCAGAATCCACTCCACAAAATATCTTACTTTGTGATATTTTGGGCAATAACCAAAGCAGATATTTGTTTAGTACCTGCAGCACACCTGTCATTGTGGCCCACTATGTGATCAGGAAGACAAGAATAGAAGCACCAGCCTAATTAGGGAGACTAGGGAAGAAGGGAAGGGTTTATCCCTTCTTTACTACCCACTGTGTGCCAGATAGTGGACTAGCCACTTTGCCATTATTGTCTGATTTAAACCTAATAATAAGCATTATTTTATCTATATAGAATCCTTATAAGTACTCAGGATAAATATAATTATTATCCCCATGCACCTAAAAATAGTACTGAGGCTCTAGAAAGTTACTGAACTTGCCCAACATTGTGCACTAATAAGGGACACAGCCTGATTTGGAATGCAGACAGGATCCCAACATATATAAACCGAATCCTGAGAAAAGGAATATGATCAGGTACCTGGCGTGGAGGGCTATCAATAGTGTTTGTAGAATTAGTGCAATGGGCCCAATGGTGCATACTGTAAAGGTGTGAAAGGAGATTTATGAGGGCTGTCACCCCTAGAGAGAAGATGCTCTAGAGGAGACCATCATTCCAAATTGGTCACATTCTCCACTGCCGCCACTGAGTTCAAGTCACTGCCATCTCTGCTCTGGGTAACTGCTGCAGCCTGCTCACTGCTCTCTGCCCACAGAGAGCAGTCAGCTCTAGCCTGATTGTCTTTTCTCATGCAGCAGTGAGCATGATCACTTTTAAAAAAAAACCTGAAGCAAAATTTACCTACAGGGAAACGCATATTGCTTAAATACGTAACCTACACCTATGACCAACACCAGAGCCAAGACATAGAACACTTTGATTACCACCGAGAGTCTTTTGTATCCCTTCCAGTCAGTCCTGTCTGTTTCTAATAGGCAACTATTCTTATTTCTATCACCATAGATGAGCTTAGTCTACTCGTGAGTTTTATGTAAGTGAAATCACACAGTATGTACTTTTTGTGTCTGGTTTCTTCATTCAGCATCATATTTTGAGATGCATCCATACTGTCTGCATGCGTCAGTATTTCATTGCTAAAGTTGTTGAATAGTATTTTCATTGTATAAAAATACCACTGTTTGTTTACTGGTGTTCTTTTTGAAGGAGGTTGGTTGTTAACCGTTTGAGGCTACTATGAGTGAAGCTGATACAAACATTCTTGAACAAGATTTTTAATAATTTTTCTTTTCTATTATATACGGGGGTACATGTGCAGGTTTGTTATATAGGTATATTGTGTGATGCTAAGTTTTTGGGCATGAATCCTGATATAGTTTGGCTGTGTTCCCACCCAAATTTCATCTTGAACTATAGCTCCCACAATTCCCACGTGTTGTGGGAGGGACCCAGCGTGAGGTAATTTAATCATGGGGTTGGGTCATTCCAGTGCTATTCTCATGATAGTGAATAAGTCTGATGGGATCTGATGGTTTTATAAAGGGGAGTTTTCCTGCACGAGCTCTCTCTTCTCTTGTCTGCCACCGTGTGAAATGTGCCTTTCACCTTCTGCCATGATTGTGAGGCCTCCCCAGCCATGTGGAACTGTGAGTCCATTAAACCTTTTTCTTTTGTAAATTGCCCAGTCTTGGACATGTCTTTATCAGCAGCATGAAAAAAGACTAATACAGATCCCATCACCCAGTTAGTAAACATAGTACCCAATCGGTAGTTTTTAACCCACATTTCCCTCCCTCCCCCTGCCCTCCTCCCCTCTAGTAGTCCACAGTATCTGTTGTTTCCATGTTTGGTCAATGTTCAGCTCCAACTTATAAGTGAGAACATGTGGTATTTGGTTTTCTGTTCCTGCATTAATTGCTTAGGAATACTATCTCCAGCTGCATTCACATTGCTGCAAAGGACATGATTTCATTCTTTGTTGTGGCTGCATGGTATTCCATGGTGTATACTTACTACATTTTGTTCATCCATTCCAGTTGATAGGTACCTAGGCTGATTCCATTTATTTACTATTGTGAGTAGTGCTGCGATGAACTTGTGAGTGCATGTGTCTTTTTGGTAGAATGATTTATTTTCCTTTGGCTATATACCCAGGAATGGGATTACTGGATCAAATGTTAGCTATTTTAAGTTGTTTGAGATATCTCTGAACTGCTTTCCACAGTGGCAGACATCCCCACCAGTAGTGTGTAAGCATTCCCTTTTCTCTGCAGCCTCACCAGCATATTATTTTTTTACTTTTTAGTAATAGCCATATTGACTGGTGTGAGATGTATCTCATTGTGGTTTTGATTTGCATTTCTCTGGTGACTAGTGATGTTGAACCTTTTTTCATAAATTTGTCAGCCACATATATGTCATCTTTTGAAAAGTGTCAGTTCATATCCTTTGCCTATTTTTTAAAATGGAGGTTATTTGTTCTTTTGCTTGATTTATTTAAGTTCCTTATAGATTCTGGATATTAGACCTTTGTCAAATGCATAGTTTGCAGATATTTTCTCCCATCCTGTAGATTGTCTGTTTACTGTGTTGATAGTTTCTTTTGCTGTGCAAAAAGCTCTTAAGTTAAATTAGGTCCCACTTGTTGATTTTTGTTTTCATTAGAATTGCTTATAGGGACTCAGCCAAAAATTATTTGCCAAGACCAGAGTCAAGAAGGGTATTTCCTAGATTTTCTGCTAGGATTCTTGTAGTTTGAGGTCTTAAATTTAAGTCTTTAATCCATCTTGAGTTAACTTTTGTATATAGTGAAAGGTAGGGATCCGTTTTACTCTTCTGCATATGGCTAGCCAGCTATCCTAGCACCATTGATTGAATAAGGATTCCTTTCCCTGTTGCTTTTGTCATATTTGTTGAATATTAGATGGTTGTACATTTACAGATTAATTTCTGAGTTTTCTGTTCTGATCTGTTGGTCTGTGTATCTGTTGTTGTACCAGAACCATGCAGTTTTGGTTACTGTAGCTTTATAGTTTAGTATTTGAAGTTGGGTAGTACAATGCCTCTGATTTTGTTCTTTTTGCTTAGGATTGCTTTGGCTATTTGGTTTATTTGTTTTGGTTCTATATTAATTTTAGAATAGTTTTCTAGTTCTGCAAAAAATGACATTGATAGTTTGGTAGAAATGGTGTTGAATCTGTAGATTGCTTTGGGCAGGATGGTCATTTTAATGATATTGATTCTTCCAATCCATGAACACAAAATATTTTTTCACTGATTTATGTCATCTCTGATTTCTTTCACTGGTATTCTGTAGTTCTCCTTGTAGAGATTTTTCACTTCCTTGGTTATCTGTATTCCTAGGTATCTTATTTTTGTGGCTGTTGTAAATGGGATTGTGTTCTTGATTTGACTCTCAGCTTGACTGTTTCTGGTATATAGAAATGCTACTGATTTTTTTTTATATTGATTTTGTATCCAGAAACAACTAAAGTCATTGATCAGTTCTAGGAGCCTTTTAGCAGAGTCTTTTTTTTTTTTTTTTTTTTTTTGGGATTTAGTTTTTTTTTCCCCGGTCGAGGGCAAAGGCGCGCAATCCGCCCCCCGCACACCCCCCCCCCCCGG